TGAATGAATGCTTTTCCACATAGAGGTGAAATGACTTCTGTCACCAACTATGCAGAGTTTGGCCAACCCTGAAGGCTAAGAGCACGTCTCCACAAGATTGCCCTTACTTCAGACACTAGTTTCAAGCTTGGGGTCCCCAGGTCTTCCTCATTCTGACCAGCTAGTAAAATTTTTAGGTGTTCCCGCTATTCCTGCAGGTTCCATAATTTGCTAGAATGACTTACAGAACTCAGGAAGGCACATTATACTTACTGTATCTGACACCAATTCTCTGACACCAACTGGGTGTCCTATATATATTTTTTTAAGATTTTATTTATTTATTTAGCAGAGAGAGACACAGCGAGAGAGGGAACACAAGCAGGGGGAGTGGGAGAGGGAGAAGCAGGCTCCTCTATGAGCAGGGACCCCAAAGTGGGGCTCAATCCCAGGACTCTGGGATCATGACCTGAGCCAAAGGCAGACGCTTGACTGACTAAGCCACCCAGGTGTCCCAGGTGTCCTATATTTCAATCCAATTTTGACACTAACTACCTGGAGTTACCACCAGTTCCCACAAGGTCCTCAACAAGACTGCCCTTATTTTTTATGACAGCCACAAGTGGGGTCCCCTAGTTGCTTGCACGACTGTCTGACTTGGCTACAGATTTGGGGGTTCTGGTAACTACCCTTCGGAGTTCCATAATTCACTAGAATGACTCACACAACTCAAGAAGGTGCTCTACTTATGATTACCTTTTTATTATAAATAAACAATTAGGGGCACCTGCGTGGCTCAGTTAAGCGTCTCTCTTCGGCTCAGGTCATGATCCCAGGGTCCTGGGATCCAGCCTCGCATCAGGCTCCCTGCTGTGCAGGAAGCCTGCTTCTCCCTCTCCCACTCCCCCTGCTTGTGTTCCCTCTCTCGCTGTGTCTCTCTCTGTCAAATAAATAAATAAAATCTTAGAAAAAAATAAACAATTAGATGAAGAAGTACATAGGGCGAGGTCTGGAAGGGGCCTGAACACAGGAATTCCTGTTCCTGTTGTGTCAGGCTATGCCACAAGAGTTATTTTTAATTGAGATTTCATTATGTAAGCATGTTTCATTAAATCACAGGCTATGTGACTGAACTCAACTCCAGCCAATTACATGGTTGTTTTTTTCTGATGAGCAGCCTTCTCCATCCCGAAGCTATCTAGGGGTCCAGCCAGAAGTCACCTCATTAGCATAGCAGAAAGACTCCTATCATTCAAGAAATTCCAAAGGTTTTTGAAGCTCTGCTCCTCCAGCTGGAGACAAAGACCAGATATATTCTTTATTATATCACAAGCCATTTGATGGTTTTTCACCAAGGATCCCTTACAGCAAAAGGATCATACCTGTTTGATTATCTACATTTCATAAAGTATTTATATAAGAGAACAATAATAAAAACATGAACGGTAGTTCCACCTTATTTATGGAGGGTGTATTTCAAGACACCCAATAGATGCCTAAAGCCGCAGATCGTTCCAAACCCCATATATACTATGCTTTTTCTTATGCATACCTATGGTAAAGTTTAATTTATAAATCAGCCACAGTAAGAGATTAACAACAACAATAATAAAATAGAACAGTTATAACAATATACTGTAATAAAAATTATGTGGATGTGTGTTCTCTCTTTCAGAATATCTTATTGTTGGAGCACCTGGTTGGCTCAGTTGGTTAAGCATCTGACTCTTAATTTTGGTTCAGGTCATGATCTCGGGGTAATGAGATCAAGCCCCGCATTTGGCTCCATGCTGGACATGGAGGCTGCTTAAGATTCTCCCTCACTCTCTCCCTCTGCCCCTCCCCCTGCTTGCTCATGCTTGGCGATCTCTCTCTCTCTAAAGAAAAAAAAAAAGAAAGAAAAGAAAAAAAGTATCTTACTGTACTGGACTCACCCTTCCTCTTCTTGTGAGGATGTGAGATGATCAAATGCCTACGTGAGGAGATAAAGTGAGCTGAATGATGTAGGCATTGTGACATAGCCTTGAGGAACTGAAACTGCAGAGATAAACTGTAGCTAAGGGGGTAACGAATTTATGTATGCGAATTCGTTATATATGACGAATTATGTATGTATAACATTTGAAGGAATCAGTGTGGGGTAGGCATAGGAGGCTGTTAATTAAATTTCTCAGTCTATTGATATTATAATCTTAGCAACAATGCCAGTGGTACATTATATCTCATTATGTAGATGCAATACAAAAAGCAAGAGTAATTAGTCCAGTCCATTACTCTATTTTGTGATCAAAATGTCTCCCAGGGCAAGGCTACCCAGACTTGCAGTCTTCCATTTTAATCTGGTCATACAGTTGAGTTGAACAGTGCTGCTATGAACATTTTGGTACAAAATTTTGTTTACATATCCCTTTTCAATCCTTTTGCATATATACATAGAAGTAGTATTGCTGGATCATATGGTAATTATACATTTAACTTTTTGAGGAACAGCCAAACTGTTTTTCACAGTGGCTGTCCCATATTACATTCCCACCAGCAACATGTGAGGGTTCTTATTTATCCACATTCTCATCAACAGTTCTTTTTCTTCTTTCTTTTTATTAGAGCCAAACTAGTGGGTGTGAAGTGGTGCTTCATTATGGCTTTGATTTGCATTTTCCTTAATGACCAATGATTTTGAGAATCTTTTCACATGCCTGTTTGGCCATCTGTATAGCTTCTTTGGAGAAATATCGATTTAAGTTCTTTGCCCAGGTTTTAATTATTGTTTGTCTTTTTGCAGCTCATTAATGAAGAATGATATTAAGCATCTTTTCATGTGCTTTTCAGGCATGGGTATAGTTTCTTTGGAGGAATGGCTATTTAAGTCTTTACCCCACTTTTTACTTGAATTGTCTT